CCGAAGGCGGAACCAGAACCAGGCTACGTATGTACAGACGAGCTCTGAGAGGGACAAACGCAGCAGAGCGGACTCTGTGGGTGAGGAACTGAGGAGAGGGCTTCATCTGACCGGTCCAGAATGAGGAGAACAGGACAGAGAGCTGCTCCAGCATCAGCTTTGGTACCACGTTCTTCAATTACCTTTTGCATAATTAAAGGGTTCTTTGAATTGTGCAGAGGTTCTGCATATTAACTGAGAATGTTGTACAGGATTCTATATAGAACCTTTTTGAAAAGAGTTCCATATAGCACCAAAAAGGGTTCTATTGTTAAACACCTGACATGACAGTAGCAGAACCCTTTTTGGTGTTACATAAAACCATACACAACATATTCTCCAACTATCTGCTGTATATGGTTCTATATAGAACCTTTTTGAAAAGGGTCCTACATAGCACCGTAAAGGGTTCTTCTATTGTCACAAGATTGACACTAACAATAGCAGAACCCTTTTTGCTGCTACATAGAACCCTACACAAATTCCCCATCAATCTTCAAAATCATTTCGCCATGTAAAGAACCTTTTAATCATGCAAAGAGTTCTTTGTGTGTTCATGGTTCTATGTAGAACCATTTTCTTTACTGAAGAACCCTTGATGTACCATTTATTTTTAAGAGTGTAGCCTATAATAGCTTTAAGAAATGAACAGGCAGCTGTGGATTAATAGGATTTTGCTGGTTCCACCTTAACAGAACTGAGAAAAACAGAACACTAATGTGTATCCTCCACCTTTAAAGTCCCAGGTTAGGAAAAAGTGATGTAACACAAGAAAAACAGGTCAAAATGATCTCAGATCGGTGTGGAAAACTCAAAAAACTGCATTTGTTGGCGAGTGAAACGCCTCAGAACGTAGGCAACACTAATACTTCTCATGCTGTGACTGTTTTAGGAATAAGAACCGAAAGATTATCCATTCTGAGCTCTTTCAGTGATGCTGGCACATCATGTTACATCCTTCCAGCATTGTGTGATTTATCTGCCTGTGAACTTAAACTCATCTAAATTAAGCCAAAACGTGTAAAAACAGGCTGAAATTCTCATTAAATGTTCTAAAATCTCCTCTAAAGAGAAACATTACACTCTGTCTGCGTCTCAGACTCTCGCTGTCTGCAGTGAAGGTTCTCTTTCTGGTGGTCCTGATCAGATCTGAGCCACAGCGTCCGTAAATAAAAGGGGTTTCACTTTGATTCACTCGATCACATCAGGTCAGCGTCTCCTGCTGCCCCCTGCTGGACGTCTCCTTCAGCGTCTCCTTCAGCGTCTCCTTCAGCGTCTCCTTCAGCGTCTCCTTCACCCTTCAGCTCCTCCTCTCCCACTTCCACTCCCTCCTCCTCCTCCCCGCCCATCTCCTCTTCTCCTCCTTCTCCTTCCTCCATCTTTATCTCCTCCTCCTCCTCCTCTTCCTCCTCCTTGTGTCCGTCCCCGTTCCCCACGGCCTCCTGGGCTGGCTCCGCCCCTTCAACTCCAGGCTCCGCCTCTTCAGTTTTAACCTCCTCCTTCAGGCTCTCGTTGGCCTCGTTGGCCGCATCGCCCTCGGAAACCTCCATCACCATGGAGTCCTCGGGGTCCTGGTCGTCCTGGTTTCCGGTGAAGGGATTTTCGCCCTGGAAACAAAACCAGGCAGAAACTTTAAAAAAGGTAAAGATAAATAAACTTTGAATTTCAGCAATTTATTTAGATTTTTATTCCCCAATAGTTTTATAGTGTTTAGTTATTTCACTTATTATACCAAAATAAACTGTTTCTAAATTAATACTGATGCCGCAGGGGGTGGAACTACCCAGAATTCTTCGCAGCTTGTTATTGTTTATTTTTCATCAGTTCTCTTCATTCAAAATTTTGTGTGTTCTAACTTCTGATTCAGATTCAAAACTAGAGGTCTGGGCACATTTTTGTTGTTTATTATTGTAACCATGACGCTGCTGTGTGTTTAGATTCTCCGGTTCAGTCTTTATTACCATCATACAGTTGAATGACGGCTCATATTGGTTCCCCACTGACAATAACCTCAATCATCATGAGGTCACAAACTTTAAATCATAGAAACCAAAAAGCTCATTATAGGCTTTTTTCCACCAATATCAGCTGATATGATCACCAAACTGTCATACTAATCGGTCTCTGGTGTAGAACTTTAACCAGACCTGAAATTTGGGTCGAACCAAGAAACGGCCCAAAAATTTCCAAACCCCACCCCACCGACAGCGAGGGCTGAGCCCAGAACTGTCAAACAAATGGACCCGAACGGACAGTTAAACTACTGCATAGCAACAGCAGCAGTCATTACATCACAGACAAATAAAATAAAATAACGACAGAGCTGTCCAAAACTTGCTTTCATAACCAGTGCTTATTAATAAATGGTTTTTAATCTGAATTAACTTTCCACACTGTGCTGTTCTGTGCCGATATAGCAAGTTCCTAGCTTCTCCAGTTTAAAACTAAAAATCTCCCACAAACGTACACAGAAGATATTACATAACAAAAACAACTAAAATATTTCTGGCCAAACAAATTAAACGTAAACATCCTCTTGGCTCCACTGCACTTGCTTTTTATTAAATTCTGTCAGCAATCCGAGTTTGGTGACTCCAGAACAGATTAAAAACCAGTTTAGGTTATTAAAGTGTGGGCAGAGAGTGCAGTAACTAAAGCAGAAGGAAATGCTGAGTAAAACTGGACAGGAGCAAGTGTGGCGGCTAACGGCTAACGTCTAACGTAAACATACGGACCTTCAGGTAGCTCTCCAGCTTCTTGCCGATGACCTTGTGGTTGAGGATGCTTCGAGCCACAGACAGACTGGACCTCTTGGACTGCTCCATCATACCCTGCAGGGAAAACAGGCAGAGCGGAGAAGATCAGAACGTCATAGTGAACAGATGGAACCAGAGGACTGTTTCTGTAAAAGACTGTCTGCACATTTGCACACTAAACGGCAACATTTACAGAAATCAAAGGGAAAAGTTCTCCTATATTAATTTATCTGTTTGTTAAATGATTAGTTACTGGACAGACCTAGACCATGGCTTTTATTATAATTATTATTGTTAGCTGTCATGTTCAGGAATTGTGTGTACCTTGCGGTTGTAGTTGTGATCAGGAGATTTGAGGTGTTTCTGGATGAGTGAATACTGCATGGGAATGTAGAGATCACACGCTGCACAGTGAGCTGCCTCCACTTTCTTCATAAAGTGCTCCATACCGATGTCTGAAAACACAAACACAAATCAGCAACGTCAACAACAACAACGTAGAAGAGAATGAAAAGGAAGGAAAAAAAAGGCTAGCACAAGAAACAAAAGCTGGAAAAAAATTATAAAAATAATAAAAGAGAAAGAAGACGCAGAGCTGAGACACACCTCTGGTCAGGTCTTGTTCTTTATACACCTGGCAGATGGCAGCGCTGTGGTTCTCCATCTGATTAACCCTCTGTTCCGTCTTCTTGTATTTATTATTCAGGTACTCCTAAAGCATAATACACACAAACATATGTACTCTTTAGAAAGGTCAGGCTTTAGAGAGAGGTGTGATCATGAAAATGTTCTACCTCTATTTAAACAGTTCTAGAATGCCCCCCATTCCCACTTTCCATGATCTAGCATGATTTACAGTTCTTGAAATGTTTTCTCTGCTCATTAATGCTATTCTGGAATGTTCTCAGTTCAGCCTGATGTGCTTGGCTTGTCCGTCCATGTACACTGGTAGAGCTGCAGTTTATAAATTTATAAATTTCTCTTCATTTTATGACATAACGATAAAATTAGCCTTTTGCTCCAAACCATTCAAAATCAAAAGGGTGGAGAGCATTCTAGGACACTATTTGGGGACAGAACGTTGAACAGCGAGTGCGGGATTGACATTCTTGAAAAACGCAAATGGGTAAAAGGATGTGAAACGGTGGATCAGGAATCAGATCAGATAAGACGAATGTGGAGTACGTTCTAAAACAAAATGAACTTGAGAAGAAAATCTGCTAGAACGAGTTAAATTGGGTGAGAACATTGTCACGTTCTAGAACAGTCTGAAACGGAGGTTCCTCCACAGTTCCCAAGAGGCAAAGTAACTGAGCAGAGCGAGGGGTAAATGCTCATACCTGCAGGAAGTCAGTGGTTGGTTTTGAGAGCTGGTTGGACAGGAACCTGAAGTGATCTTTGTGGAATTTGCTCTCCAGATGGACTGCCATCTCCTCGCTGTAGAATGAGCGGAACTTGCAGATGGAGCATGCAAAGGTCAACCTGAAAACCACAGGACAGGAACGGGAGCCAATCAGGACACAGACCATTTCAGTGTGTTTCAGTGCAACAGGCATTTTCACGGTCTTCTTCACAGAGACGGGAGAGATGGGGAGGTAGATTAAGCGATGGAGAATCTGACCTTTGAGCAGTGACCTTGACCCCTGACCTTTCAAAGAAGCCCCGCCTCTTTCTGAGTTTGGAAGCGGAGGGCGGGGTCTGTTTTCCCGGCTGCTTCGTCTTCGGCTGAGAGTTTTCTTCTTTCACAGGTGATTCTGAAGAAAGAAAGAATGAAAGGAAGAAGACATTAAGACACAGCAAAGTCTAAGGACGAAGTATAAACACTTACAATAACAAGAACAACTACTCACCACCACTCGCTCCTTCAGCCGCTGGTTCAGATTCCTGCTGAACACGACAGATTCAGAAATAAGCCGTTACTAGAGATGCCACCAATCTGATATGTTAAAAATGCTTACCAATCAAATTAAAGCATAAACTGCTAAAATTCCAATGCTACTCCAAAACTATTCATAACGGTAGTGTTTTATAGAGCGATGAAGCAGCTCAATGGAGAAAAATAACCAACGCTAACATGGCAACTAATAAGTTAACCAAAAATTGTTGCCATGTATCAGAACACTATTGAGCAAAGTTAACCTTTATAAATCACACTAGCATGTAAGTTTGGATGAACTACCCATTTAAAACAAAGTTTCATCTCATTCACTCAACTTCCACTGATTCAACAAAGCCCAGTAAGAAACTCACAGGAGCTGGAGTTCCAGCTTCTTTCTTCTCGTCTTTCTGCTCAGCGGCTTCTGCTGGCAAACAAAAGACAAATATTGTACAGGCAGATTCAGAAAATGTTTAATTTTGGTACAAAAACATATTGCACTGTTAAAAAGGTTAAAGAACAGGAGCTCCATTTTTAAAATTTTCTATTTTAAATTAAAATAATTTGTGCAATTCTCAGGTTTTTGCTATCAGTTTCAGAAAAGAAAAAGGGGTGTCTAGTTGTTTGTCAAACAAAAAAAAATTCCACATAATTCCCGTTATCACACAGCAGTAAAATAACGCTGAAGATCACTTAACACAGACTAGAGCCCTACTTTCAAAGAGAACCGCCAGACATGCAAGTAGAATTCAGAAAAGGTAGAACAACAAAAGATACTGGTGATGCACACTACATCACTGAAAAAGCCTACAAAGTCCGTCAACCTCTTAATGTCACGGAATGCCCTCAAGAAAACAGACACATTAGAGGATCTCATTATCCTAATTAGAAACCTGTATGCTGATCAACAAGCCAGCAATGACAGAAAATGAACATCACTGGTTCTACAACAGCAAAAGAAGTCTGACAAGGCTGTACACTGTCACCATTTCTGTTTGGCCGACGAAGAACACATACGTTAAAGAAGCGGGACTGGAGAAACAGAAGATTGGTGAAAGAAACCTCAATAACCTTGGATATGCAGATGACGACATGACACTCAAAGAATAACTGTACCACTGATGGAGCAAAAGTAGAAACGGAGAGTCTACCTGGATGAACTGTTAACAGCAACGTATCCTGCAGTCAAGAAATATGACAGTTTGGAACTCAGCAGAACAAGGATGAAGGAACTTTAAAGGATCTTCAAATACAATGATGTGTCTCTACAAAAGATCAGAACCATCCAGGTTGTGTTCTTCTCTGTAGTCGTTTATGGATGCAAAAGCTAGATAACAAAGTGGTGCTGCCAAAGACTTTTCAGAGCACCTTAGAAAACCAAGAAAACAGATTCTTGACCAAATCCAGCCTCGCCTCACAAGCTCAGAACAAAACTGAAGCTCTCTGATTTGGACACGTGCTGAGAAGTACCAGTTCATCAGAAAAGACCATTATGCTTGGAAGAGTTGAAGGTAAAAGAGGAAGAGGATGGATGGAGACAATCAGAGGAATCATGAACCAGCCATTCAGAAACCTGAAGAAACACTATTATATGGTCACCATGAATTGGAATCAACTTGACGGCAGTTAGGCATAGAAATGTTGAGCAACAAAGTTTTTTGCTAAAATGCGCCTTGCCAAATTGAGGTCTGTATGGGCCTGATTGTTAATACCCGTACCTGCCCGATACAACCACTGATCACATCCTCCCGCGCCTGCAAAATCTAGTGTGATTCCTGCCCACTGCCGACTGCAAAACCTAGCACCATTTTAGCCTGCACGTGCCCACTTTCGGCTGTGCTTGTGATACTCGTCAACTTGTGACACAGCGGAGCCTCAAGACCCATCAAACACTTCACTATTACAGAAGAAAAGCAAATATTTTGTGTATTTTAGGCTAATCAAAGCCACGTGAATCTGGACATGGCACCACACAAAGAGCAGTGCGTCACGTGACGTCACCTGACAGACAAGCGGGCAGCACCACAGGCAAAAACAAACAAACAAACAGCGTAGCAGCTTGGCTTCTCTACTAATACTATTTTTATCTGAGTCAACATTAGCCTTGTGATGGACTGGTGACCTGTCCAGGGTGTTTCCTGCCTTCTGCTCAATGACTGCTGGAATAGGCTCCAGCACCACCAGTGACCCAGAAGGATAAGTGACTTAGATAATACGTATGTTTTATTATTTGCTAAAGACGTCTATAAAACAGGGACTGAGGCCACAGCGCAGGTTAAAAAGCCAGCCAGCCATAATACCCACTCGTACAAGCCCGCAACCTGTTGGCTGTTTACCCGCAACAATCGGGGTGCTTCAAAAGTTGTGCAGACCTCTACTGCCAAACCTTACACCCATTTAGTTGAGCTCTGACTTCTGGTAGAACATTCCAGTTTCAAAAGCAGGTCAGCAATCTGCTGTAAACATCGGAGTAGGTTCAGCAAAATACTGATCAAGAAGTACCGTTATTTGTCTTTTCGTCTCCTGTGGTCTCGGTCTTGCCCATTTTAGACTCTGGCTCATCAGACGTAGACAAAGTCTGCTTCCTCTTCTTCTGTCCATCTCGCTGGGGTTTCACCTGCTGCTATAGTAACACATCCATACAAATGTTAACACACAAGGTTGCAGCGCTCACAGCAACACACATGCACTCTCAAAATAACGCAAGACAAACACACTAACACAGTACATCATGGAGACTATTTTACAGGGACTGACTGACAAATACACACACAGGAACCATGCCACAAAAAGTGAACAAAGGTTAAGCCCAGTCAACATACCACAGACATCACACTACCACACTTTCGCATCATTAGGAAGTGATGAACTTTGCATGCACTTACCTTCACAAGCAAACCTTCAACTTTGTCTAAAACTGCTGACCCTGAATTAAGTGCTACACAACCAGGCTAACTAAGCTCCTGGGACTGTTTTCAGTGAGGGGCTTACAAAAAGCAAGGGTACCGCTACAATTTTGTATTAACTCTGAGGACATGAACCGGAGCTTTGACTTCTGAGCATCTTATAGGAGGACAATTTGAACTTGGGTGTGTAAGGAAAAAAAAAAACAAAAAACAAAAAAAAACAAAAAACACAACTGTGCAAAAGAAAAGTAGGTCAACGAAAAAAAAATTTAAACAAATTGGGGCTGCCAATAAAGAGGATCGTCTGCATCACTGGATCAAGTAAGGAGTGGCCCATGTTTCTCTACATGGGTTACTGTGTGGTGGGTGTCAAATTTTTTTAGATTGTAAGAGAAGTTATGTGGACATTACGTCAAATGTGGCCTTGCAGACATGGACGAGTGGCAGGTGGAGTAAAATGATTTCATTTCCACTCGTGTCTCCACTCCTCAGGCTTGGCAGGCTGGAGTAGGAGGGGAGGGGGTTTTGGGGGTTTGATGGTTCAAGTCCAGTGCTTTGCTGGAGGTACTTACTCGGTTGAGGGGTCTCTTGCGGGTGCGTTGACGGTTGACCCTTGGGCCCCCTCCAAAGTGCCGGACAGGATAGTCCTGGGAGCCATGCTGAGGCTGGTAGGCCCCACTGTCGGGGTACATGCGGGGGGCCAGAAGCGACGGCAGCTTGCCTCGCCCTGAGGGGGAGTGGCCTTGCCCCCCGCTCCGCCCACCTCCACCCCCAACTGAGGAGTGATCTTGCCTACGGCCAAAGCCGCGCCCCCCTGGCGCTCCGCCCCTGCGCGGGGACCTCTGCCCTGCCCCCCAGCCGGAGCCTGAGAAGGCGTCTCGAGCCTGCCGCATTTTGGCGGATCCGTAGGAGGCTGAGCTGTCAAAGCCGCCACCCCCTCCTGCCCCGCCCATCGCCCCGAAGCCCATGCCTCCACGCTGGGCCATCATGTCGCCCCGGGAGTCACCGTAACCATAGTCACCGGATCTGTAGAGATCACGGGGGCCAAGGGCGGAGGAGCGCGAGTCGAAAGACTCATACTGGTCAAACCTGCAGAGGGAGGGAGGCGCAGAGCAAGCAAGAGATGAAGCAGTGGCACCTCGCATTTCCTTCTTTTTCTCTTTCAGTCTCTCATTTCCCTCTTCATTCACTTACTCTCACTCTCTCCCTTGATGTCCCTCTACAAGAGAAGGTGAAAAGTTAAAATTATTGTCTTAACTTTTATTTAAAGTGTACCAAAGAATCCCACACTGATTGTACTCTGGATGAGAAAATGCATTTTGCCACATTCATCCAAGCCATTCCACACACCGATATCTAATCGGACAGCAATTAAAATGGTCAGACAAGCTACATCGTGGGAAGGGTTTGGGTAATTGTATACCTTTTGCCCGTGCAATCCCACTTGATCTCTTGCATATTTGGGGTACAGCTGCGCCAAGCATGCTGGGAGACTCGAAAGGACCCAAATTTTGTACCAAAGATGAACGAGATACATATGAAAGGGATATTAGGTGACAGAATGGCTTCAGTGATGGGGATTACTTCTTGCTGTTGAATTATAATCAGCACCAGGGCATGTATGTCGAGAAATGGGAATGCATTGGATTATCATGCGACAGTGGGTTCCCTTTGCCCTTGGACAACATGTAAACAGCATCTTAGGAGAGAGAGAGTTTGAGTCAGAGGTTTTCGGAAACAAGGACTAGAGAAATAAGACAGCATCATTTGAAGTATATCCTTTAGCAGACAGTGGGTGTACTTTGCAAACCACAGCCAAAGACGAGACAAGCCACATGTTAGGGACTTCAGATCGATTAAGAGCAAAGGGTATGTCATGGCATACTGGCTGACTTTGCAAAGCTGTACGCTGCAACACTCATGTCTGGAGCGGTGTTCTCTAAGTCAACCTCACCTGTCTGCCAACTCTTGGACAACAGACCACGTTTCAACCACATGCAAATTATTTAAATAACTTGTAGGGTACTATTCGTTGTGGTATCTTTTCATACCTATCTTTTTACCAAGAGACTTAACCCACAAAGCATCCACGAAACATCCTCTTGTACCAGTAATCTTGCTACAGAACAAACTTCCTATCTTCTACATAATAAAAACTATTGCTTATTATGTGCATCTAAAAATTTTGGCATTTGGAGTTCCACAAGGTTCTATGTTAGGACCACTACTTTACTCACTGTGTGTGGGACCTCAACGAAATGAGATCAGGAAACACGAGCTAATTTTTCATAGGTATGTTCTAACCATATGCAAATACAGATTTACATACCCTCTAAATGTCAAGACTGTCAATCAGATCAAAAAAGAGACAATGATGCTTGGCGTTTCATAACAGCAAAAACTTTGTGATTTGTAAAAAATTAAGCCCTTCTGTATCGTAAATGCGTTTCACAAATCTGAAGAGCAAAATTATTTAAATGATACCATGACTGCACTCTATCATTTACAAAAATATTGTTAAAGTCAGGCCTTTTCTACCAAGCTCGACAAAGAAATACTTCTAAGCATCTGTTGCAAGTAAAACTGACTACTGTAACTGTCTTTTTGGTGATAAGAAAACTAGTTTTGAAGCTCTAAATGGCCTAGCACCTGTGAAGTTCACTGACTACCTGTCTGTTTATGTTCCAACACATTTTTAGATCTGGAGATACTGGCTTTCTGCAATACTGCAACAAAAAAATAATAGAGAGGCTTCTTATACGTCATTTGATCTAGATCCTGATAACTGGAGAATGCTGCTCTGCAAAGACAAGAAGGGAAACCAAAGGGGAAACCAAAAAACATATCTGAACCAGGTTGATGGCTTTACCTTATTTTTGGACTCTAGAGGATAATGAAGCAAATTACATGCCTTAAAGTTAAACAATTTTAGATGCAAGGTCAAGAACTCAACGACTTCTCGGAAAGGAACAGCATGCTCTTAACAAGAATAAAAATTTGTTAAAAGCTCAAGACTGCTCTGAACGACTTTATTTTGAGAATCTCAGAGAGCGGCATAAAAGACAATAGGGTGAACTAACGATCACTTTAGGAAGTGAGTAAAATGTTTGCATGCGTAATTGTTTCCAGGCTGACACAATTAAGTTACTGACAAGGTGTAAAGTGCCAGACACTAACACTCTTAAAAGCCATCTTTCGGAATAAGCAGTCCCTCGTTAAGGATTAGCCAAGGCCTACATTAACTACAACATCAAGTGAGGTAACAAAAAAGATCTAAAACTGCATGGCAAATGGGAAGGTTTGTAAAAAATGTGTTTGTATGTATCACTGAAGAAGAAGGGACAAAGTTTGTTTCGTGGGCAGAGCAAAAGTATGCTAGCATCACACACGCAAAAGATATGTCCACCTTACCGGTCACCACGACCCCCTCCTTTCATGCCTCCCTCCAGTTGTGTAAGCATGTCGAGTCGCTGGTTGATTTTGGCAATTACAGCATCTGCATTCGTTCCAGTGGAGGAAAGAAGAGAACCACCGGATAGACCCCTCTTCATCTGGTCCCCTCTGCCCCCATAGCCTCCAAAACCACCTCCGCCAGACATGGAGTCTTTGTAGCCATACAGGTCATAGCTGCCTGAACCTGAAAGTAGAAGAATGGGTGTAGAAAACTTCAGTGATTGACGCTAAAATAAAAATAACTAACTTGGGAGTCTGTTGGGTAACAGAGGGACTAGCATGCTTTCCAAAGTTACCTAAAATGGCATAAAGACGGACTTTGAAAAATTCTGGACTCCAGAACCTACTTGAAGGAAGAAAACATACCAGTCCACCAATTTGTGTCCTTATGCCAGTTCTGATATCGGAATTACGGGTATTAGCTGATAGCACTGATACCAAGGAAAAAACAGTTTTGCTTCTCAAGAACGGCATAACAAAAATCGTACCTTGAAAAATCTAAAGTCTTGGAGATATCAAGATCAAACAATTGTACTTGATGGGTTACGGATACAAAAATGAAACCTTTGAGTGCCATGTAACCACTATAGAACCTCCAAGTTACCCTTTAAATAGGAACTCAGGAAAATGCAGTCGGCCAGTCAAGTTTATTTTAACATTTGCAGCTGCATATTTTGAGCAGCTCAGTTTCAGTGGCCAGACTAGATCCGATGTCCATCATACGCAACTATCAGGGTTTCGATCAACTTTGTCTACAAGTTCAAGAATGTCAAGGTTTATAAATAGAAATCACAAACGGTGAACAGACTGATGTAGATGCAAGGCCGCTGACTCACAGCAAGGCCACGGAAATAGTTATCAAAGTAGCTCTAGAACCACAATCTCCTGGGTCTACATGTAGACACAGTCTAAGTCAGTTATGGTAGATTGCTCCATTTTTTAAATGTTAATGATAAGACCCTTACCTCTGTTGGAAGATCCTCCTCCACCCCAGCTGGAGAACCCTGTTAGAAAAGAGCACAAACATTTAGATTAAAGCTATTAAAAAAAAATAAGCACTTTATCAAGACTTGGCTTTATGCGAGTATTTAAAACCAGGATCAGTAAAAATGAACTTATTTAATTGCCAATGTATCTTCTCATCCCTTAGACCAAAATTACAATTCAGATTTAATTTCTTATTATTTGTTGATCAGCGAGTTTCCCACCATTACCAGCATTTATGATGGTTTTTATTTTCATATTTCCTACAACAGCATCCAGTGCTTGACTGAATTTGTAGTTATCGTACTAATTACTATATTCAGGCCATGAGTTAAGTTTCTGAAGCATCCTCAATATAGTAAATAACGGCCTCAATATGGTTAATTCAGGCTAGAGGTGGGCGATATGGCAAAAATACAATATTGCAATATTTATTCATTCAGACGTTTGATCAGTTGCAACTGAGAAAAAAGAACCAGTAGTGCTACATCTTAAAAACCATTAATACATATTTTTATTCAATACTTCCCACTAAATCCAGTCAAGCAGGACTAATTCTGCTCTTTTAACAACGTCTACAAGTACTGACAACATACACGATACGTTCAGAAAAGACGTATTGTATTGTAACATAATTTAACAAAATAATGACATATATTGTCTTAATAAGGTATCAGCATGGGCTTTTGTTTCTAGCAGTATCTGAGCTCAGGACCGGCTTTCTCTCTAACCTATTAATAACTAACAAAGATACTTTCTCTAGATAAACAAAGCACTTTTTGTAAGTCGCTCTGGATAAAAGCGTCTGCTAAACGGTGTAAATGTAAAGTAAATTATTGCCCAGCCCTATTTGTGGCCACAATACAATAACTTATAACCCTAACATATTAATTTGTGGCCTCAATATAATGTGTGCTCTCAATATATTAATTTGCGGCCAGCCCCTTATTAAAAAAAAATAATTACCATGTCAGCTTAGGGCCTCTGTACTTCTACATGTAACAGCCTGGTTAATAAGTTAATTAGTGGCCTAAATTTACAAAGCCAGGTCATTTTACCCCGAACAAAAGAGGAAAGTCTGAGCCGCCATCTTGCTGTGATGGTGCCAGCTAGAGCTCTGGCACCATTTTAGCCGTTTTTAGCCAAGCTAAGCAGTATCTGCTCTAAAACAGACCACTTTTCGAAAATAAAGCCCTATAATAACAACATTAACGCACATTACATTATGAGGATTAAGAAACATTTATCCTAAACGGTAGCAGCCCAGCCCAGTCGCAGTTCGAGGCCTCTGTGGTCAGGCTGGCCAATGTTAGCAGCGTTTGTTGGCTTCGTTAAACCAAAAAACATTAAATATACAGCTAAAGTTGGCATATTTGTACAAAATACGACACCAAAACACAAAACTGCCAGCTTCTTTTTCGAACTTTTCCGTTCCACCTTAAATGGCGCAGCGGCCACTGTCTGGCGCCTCAGCCGCCAGAATGAAACTACCGCACTATTTAAGGTGGAACGGAGAAATCGAATTAAAAACGCGGACTCCAGATTCGTGCTCAACTTACCGAGCTACGCTGAAATTAAAAAGCCGTAAGAGCTACACAGCGACCTTAAGAGGTTCGGATATAATCTGTTATTCGTATAAGAACCGGTACCTGATCCGTATCCGCGCCCGTCCATGTTCAGCTCTAATGCGTAACTCCTCAGCCGAACCGTAGCTCGTAGCCAAGAAACCGAGAAGACAGAGAGGCGGGGCCGCAGGGAGAGCAACACCGCTATTGGCCGTCGCTTGAGATTGACTGTAACACCGTCCAATCACGTAGACATACTAATTTGCATAAAGCGCTTTGCAAGCCAATCATCAACGCATAAGTTTCATGTCGCGCGGGAATCGTGTGGATATTTTGAATGATGGCAACGCGACCCAATCGTAGAGATCCACTGATTTGCATAAAGAGTGAAGCGAGCCAATCACGAGACGCAGTTTTATGTGAGGGTGGGTCCGATTCTTCGTCTACGTGGATTTGGTGGCGGTTGTGTAAACCTCCAGCGCCACCGCTGTCCGCAGGCTGTATTAACGGACTGGTTGTGATGTTTAACGCCGTTTAAAGATGAATTTCACAGTTTTTGTCTGTTTATTTATGTAAAATTCAGTGGTTGAGATGTGAAGAAAATCATTCAGAGTAGTTTGATGTAAAACCCGGGGCGGATTTGGTGATTCTGGGGCCCTGAATGCGTTTTTAGTTGAGGCTCCTGAAGTCCTGACGGCCTGCAAATCCATGATATCTGGGTGTCTAATTGTCTTAAATCTAGTCGATACATCAAATATAACTAATTTTTTAGGCCGTTGTAAGAATATTACACAGCTCTGCGTTCTGCCTTGTCTTTTATTTCCGTCCCTGACGTCTACTTTTAAAGATAGCGTAGCTTTAGCTACCGAACCAGTCATCGTTTCTACATGACCGTTTTCCAACCTCTCATTACCCCTTACAAGTAAACAGGCTGTTTTAGTGACTGTGACTTTAGGACACGTATATGTATATGCTTCGGTAAAGCTTCATGCAATATAAATAGATTTATAATAACAAGTACAAATAAATGCGTTTTAAGAATATATTTGATAAATACGTTTTTTACCATTTTCATACATTGCAAAAATATATTTGATTAATACATTTGTATTATATTTTTCTCTGTATGGACACTCAGCCAAAACAGCTCTCTCCCACTCACTGTACAAGCATCCAGTGTGCTTCTTTTATACTGACCGAGCATGTAAAATAAACGTATTGTGGTTCTGTACACGTTCTAAACTGTGGAGCAGTTGGTTACTAAATGTTCAAGTATGCCAAGCTTAGGCTATTTCGTTCACTAGAAACTCCTACACTCAGTTCTGCTGCACAGACTTTTATTGTGAAGGGCGGCGTTAGGTACGGAAGTCCAGAGAGGCCATGGGGTAGTTCTAATTTTTTTAACTGTTATTTTGAGATAAAGAGTTAATTATCTTGTTAACTCAAGATGATAAAAGTTGTTATCTTGAGATAATGTGTTAATTATCTTGTGATCTCAAGATAACAATCCAGAAAATTACAGCAACAGCTCATGACCTCTCTGGACTTCCATAAGGTACAGCGCGTGTTGGGTGTTGTGGTAGCAAACCTCAGAGGGCTGGGTGGCTAACAGAGAGAAGCTGTTTCTCGGAGTGAAACTTGAGTAAACCAGAACTTCCAGTTGTCCAAGTTTCTCGTGAGAACCACCAACGTTACAGTATTTAATATATGAAATACCAGAAGCAGTTTTTGAGGAGTCTGGCCTCTTCCTATTTCCCTCATTATATCAAAAAACAGGACTGCTGAACAGCAGAGGGCGCCTGCGAGCGAGTGAATGAAAAGTTAATATAGTTTCTAATCACTGAACCAGAACTTTCCTTTAATTTTAGACAGTAGAAGGATGGATTTCACTAAATAAACAAAGAAAACTCACCTGTATGTTTTCTTTTTTCTACAGCAAACGGGTTTTGGGGAGCAGGACGCTCACATTACTGATACTGAGTGCTGATTGGTTGGAGAGCGGAGCAGCTCATTGGCTGAGGCGTCGTTTTAAACTACTAAAACTCGAGTTTAAAAGCTCTTAAAAATATAACAGCAGTGTTAAAATGTTTTATGCTGCTCTGTGTTCAGGAAATGAATGTATTTTTTTACATAGAAAATGTTTAAGCATTTACAAATTGTGATTTTGCTCAAATGCTCCATATTAACCCATTCATTTTGGACTTGCTCAGGAGCGCCCTCTAGCTTTGAGAAACCTGGAAGACACTGCAGAGAGATAATTCTCCTCTCTACAAGTTCTCTGATAAAATACAGCAGTGCAGGCTAATTTATAAATGAGAAACGGTCTAAGGTCAGTTTCACTGTACAATGTTTAAAGTACTCTAGACTCTAAAAAGCAGACTGTAGTCCATCTGTTTCTCTGCATACTTTGTTACCCTGTTCTTCAGTGGTCAGGACCCCCATGGACCCCCACAGAGCAGGTACTATTTGGGTGGTGGATCATTCTCAGCACTGCAGTAACACTGACGTGGTGGGGGTGTGTTAGTGTGTGTTGCGCTGGTCTGAGTGGATCAGACACATCAGTGCTGCTGGAGTTTTTAAACACTGTGTCCACTCACTGTCCACTCTATTAGACACTCCTACCTTGTCAGTCCACCTTGTTTTTAAACACCTCAGTGTCGCTGCTGGACTGAGAATAGTCCACCAACCAAAAATATCCAGCCAACAGCGTCCTGTGGGCAGCGTCCTGTGACCACTGATGAAGGACTAGAGGATGACCAACACAAACTGTGCAGCAGCAGATGAGCTATCGTCTCTGACTTTACATCTACAAGGTGGACTGACAAGGTAGGAGTGTCTAATAGAGTGGACAGTGAGTGGACACAGTGTTTAAAAACTCCAGCAGCACTGATGTGTCTGATCCACTCATACCAGCACAACACACACTAACACACCATCACCATGTCAGTGTTACTGCAGTGCTGAGAATGATCCACCACCCAAATAGTACCTGCTCTGTGAGGGTCCATGGGGGTCCTGACCACTGAAGAACAGGGTAAAAGGGGGCTAACAAAGTATCAGAGAAACAGATGGACTACAGTCTGTAACTGTAGAACTACAAAGTGCACCTATGTAGTAAGTGGAGCTGATAAAATGGACAATGAGCATAGAAACAAGGAAGTGTATGAGCAAAACATTAGTACAAACTTGTGAGCGTTTAGCGCCTTAAATAAAACATTTAATTTAAACCCAGATTACAAATCACACAAAGCATTCTTTACTAAAAGTATATTTTACATGTAGTTTAAACAAGATTCCTGGTTTTTATATGCTTATTAAAACATTTCAGGAGGCTGTACAGCATGTCTTACCCATACAAGCATCCACAACGCTTCTAAAACCAATGCTGTGTCCAAAATGGTCCTCTATTCATTACGCCCTACATTAGACAATCTGGATCACTATATAGAACATTACACTAGAACATAAGCACTATTATGGAACAGAATTTGTGATGGTAGTGCACAATTTCGGACACTAATGTTATACGGGTTTGCTTATGACTTACAAATAACGCAGTGAATTATGGGTATACCGTATCCGCTACGGTACATTGGTTGTACGCTACTTTATCGTGATGCATTGTGGGATTGTCTGAGCACACTGGATTTTCTGGACTATGTTTTCTGACACCACTACAAAATGGCAGATCCCCAAAATAGTGCATATATAGTGACTAGACCGAAGCTTCGGACACAGGTCAGGAAAAGTGCTGCATGTATTTACACTGGGCTCGACAGTAATTGGGGCCCGAGCTACAACAGGTGGGAGGAACCAAATCAAACTGAGGGAAATAAACCTGTAACGCTGCTGTGACAAACCAGGCACTGTAACATTGAAAGGACAGTTTGAAGTCAAATAACCAAAATCAGGCCAGATCTAAACTGTGAGTAGGATAATCAGATAGATGGACGAGGCAAAAACATAGTCGAGATACAGACTAAGATCAATAACAAGATTACAAAGAATCAGCTAGACTAAAAAGAAGGGCAAGAACTAAACAACAGGTCAAAACACGTTAAAGACAGAAACAAGAAGACGCTCTGTATGCAACGATGGCAATACTTTGCAACAGGCATGACAAACAAAGGGGTATTTTTACAGACATAGCCAAACAAACACAGGTGAAGGAATCAGAATTCAATGAAACTGTCCAGGTTTGGGTGATGAAGGGCACGTGTCTATGATGTGTTGATCAGGGGAATTATGGAAAGTGGAGTCCAGAGAGTCATTGGATTCCAATCTATACTGCAGGACGTCTCCTCTCCTCCTGGCGGACATCATCGACATCAGGTGTAGCCTTGTCTGACGGACCTGGGACCGCTCTTCACTGTGTTCAATGGCAGGACACTGGAAGCTTAATTACCCTCTTACCCTGGAGAACATGCTAGATCTCTGTGTACATCACTCACATTGAGCTCTACTCTGTGGATGGAAAAACACACACATATAGAATCATGATGTGCTGTTTGCTAAAAATATACATCAGTAAATCAAATGCAGTTCATGTATAAACACACACATTTTGAAGCACATGATTTTTCCTGTGAATGTCCTCCATGGTCCAATCTACAAAATAAAGCAGAAAGCAGTCAGTCTCCCTGTTAATCCTTATCTGTTGTGAATCATCATGCAACCCTTTCTCTTCAAGAGTTCAACACTATATGGAATATTAAATAAATTGACACACAACGGGGTCCAAAAGTCCAAGACCCCTGGTGAAAATGCTTCTGTTTTGCACTTTTACATTACAAATAAAATTATCAGCATAACAATCTGAGTGAAAAGTAGAATCAATCATATACAGTCATGCTGGTATGAACTCCATAAATTTGTGTACAATCCTCTGATCAGTCGATTAGATCCACCTGTGGAACAGACACAACTAAAGAACAATCTGTTTTTTTTGTCTTAAGGCCTTAACATGGTCTTTTGAACCCCACTGTGTATATATATATAAATGCACTCCACTGTTAAGCTTTCTAAACACAATGCTCAAGCTCTTGGGCCCCCCTAGTGGTAGGGCCCCCATAAGCTTTCCCCTTTTTCCCCCTTATGAACGACCCTGCTCATGGACGTTGTAGATATGAGCATATGACAGGTAAGAAGTTCAGTATGAGTACAGGGAACATTAAGAACGAAAAAAGTGGAAGTGTTTTACACGTACAGAAGTGTGGTTATGGTTATTTCAAGAGATCATGCTGATAATATGTTGCTGAAACAAAACAGATGCACTGTGCACTCATAAAGCCTTGCAAAGATGAAACCAACCTTATATGCTTCACTTCAGGTCTCAAGTGTTCATCGTGGTCTGTCTTTTCCAGCTCATCCACTAAGACATTTGCTGCTAACTGTTTGTTTTCAGCCTGTCTGTTTATGGGTGAGAACCTTTGTATCTCCTCTGTCATTGAGTGATCATCGAGCTCCTGAAGACAGTGAATGAGGTTAATGCATCTTTCAGAGGACAAAGTCCTTCTGTCACCCTCTTCTCTGAGCTTGCTCTTGAGGTACCAAATAGTCTGTTGAATGTTCTTCCCATTGTGTACACACATCGAGAATGACTTCAGCAGCTTCTGGCTGGAGTGCAGCGAGAGGCCAAGGAGGAAACGAAGGAACAGATCCAAATGTCCACTGTCACTCTTCAAAGCTTCATCAATGGCACATTTCTGAAAGTTATGCAATGCTGTTTCTTGCTGAGGAACCTTCGGTGGATAGCCAGAATCTTCATCGTTCTCCCTGAATGATTGTTTTGTGGAATTTTTGTTGTGGCTGGACTGCATTGCATTCAATCCTGTGACAGCGTTTGTGTGGATGACAAAGAAAGCTGCAAGATACTCTTGAAAGCTCAAGTGGACAAAGCTGTACTGTTTCACTGAAAATATTGGATCCTCCTCTTTGATGATCTCAGTAAACACTCCAGACCTCATTGAGGCCTCAGTGACATCGATATCATACTCATTCATATCATATTCTGAAAACTCAATATTGCTCTTCTGCAGATTGTCGAAGGCCAGTTTTCCAAGTTTAAGAATAAGCTGAACATCTTCATCTGAGAGCTTCAGAGGATCACTTTCTCTTTCCCCAAGATACTTTTCCTTTTTTTTACTTGTTTGGATGAGCAAGAATCGGGTGTACAGCTCAGTGAGAGATGATGGGATTTTTTCATGGCCTCTCTTTAGCATTTGTTCCAGGACTGTAGCTGTGATCCAGCAGAAGACCGGTATATGGCACATGATCTCAAGGGTCCTTGATTTCCTCACATGTGAAATGATCCTACTGGCCAAGCTCTGGTCGCTGATCCTCTTCTTGAAGTACTCCTCCTTCTGTAAGTCTGTGAATCCTCGTACTTCTGTCATACGATGGATCAGATCTGGAGGAATCTTGTCTATCGCAGCCGGCCGAGAAGTTATCCACACCAAAGCAGAGGGAAGCAGATTCCCATCAATGAGGTTAGTTATCAGCTCATCCAACGATGCTGCTTTGGAAATGTCAGAGACTCTTCTCTGTCTGAAAGCCAGTGGAAGCTGACTTTCATCTAGACCATCAAAGATGAACAGAATTTTACAGTCATTGTAATATTTTGTATCCTCAAATTCTTTGAGTTCGGAGAAAAACGTAAGCAGAAGCTCATGGAGACTCTGTTCCTCATCTTTAGTTGAGTTCAACTCACGGAAAGGCAGCACCAACAGAAGATCAATGTCCTCATTGGCTTTTCCTTCAGCCCAGTCAAGAATGAACTTCTGCACAGAGACTGTTTTTCCAATGCCAGCGATTCCCTTAGTCAGCACAACTCTGGGTTGTCCTTTTCCACATTCTGAAAGTATAAAGCCTTTATTCCTGTTGTCTTCTGTTTCTCTTTCAAGACCTTGCATGTTTAAGGGTTTGAATATGTCATTGCAGCTGACTGGTATGTCCTGTTCAGGAGGTGTCGTCAACGCTGTGTCAATCTACCAAATCTCATGTTCCTTATTCAGTCCTCCCCGCTCTCCTTCTGTGATGTAGAGCTTTGTGTAGATATTGTTCAGTAAAGTTGGGTTTCCTCTCTTTGCAATTCCCTCAAAGATCTTCTCACACTTCCCTTTCAAGCGACCTTTCAGTTTTTCTTTGAGTTTCTCTGAAATTTTGAATATTGGAAATAAAGGATCTTTAGTATCAGAATAGAGGCCATAGAGTTATACATTAATGTTTAATGTACTTTGGATCATGCATTTCCTACAATCTGCTGTGTTTTTTTGTAAAGCATGTGCAATCTAAATACAGCACTCACCAATATTAGGGCCAAAGGCTGAATCTTGCTTTTGTGTGGGTTCAGCATTTGCTGGTGACAGAAAAACAACACAATTAGAATTTTATACGGAACTTATTTATTGTTTTTTTCAGGTATTTGAACCGATGATTTGGTTTAAATTTAGCTAATGGATTTACAGTTATGTATTTCACAAACACTCTTATCCACAGTGACGGACAGTTTTGTCATGTTACAAATGTATACGAGTGTAGAGTTGGAGTCTTGCCCCAAGACTGCTATTGATACAGCATTGTGTGGAAATCAAATCCCAGGCTACTGCATGGAGGGTGGCATTGTTACAATTGTGACAACCAAATTTTTAAAGCTTTGCTTTTGAAGCTGATTTTTGTGAGGTATACCAGTAAAAATGAATTGCTATGCCATTGTCTCATGATATGCATTCTGAAAAGTAAACCACAACAAAAAAAGTGCAACATAATAGTTAAACAAACACTGTTAGGTACAGCTAACAGTGAAATATTATTTTAGAAAGATAATTATTTTATATATTATTATAGAGCAATGTAGAACTGGGGATGAGTAAGGAGATAAAAGCAAACAGGAGATAAAGTTTTTGGAGATAAAGACTGAAACAAATTCCATTAACACAAACTGAAGAAGTTATAGTGTGTGTTCGCATTTGCACAATAAAGAAAACTTTTCAGTTGCAAACTGTTTAGATGATTAGCTAGCTCTGCTACATTAGTGATCTCTGATCGAGTAGCATTGCAGTGGAGAAGAGTGGGTTTTGTTTGCTGTCAGAAAAGCTCTTCTGCACAGCTGTAAGTAAAGTAGTTTTCATAGTTTTGATCCTTATCCGTCTCTTTCAGCAGCAGCACAGCGACAGCAGGAATCACATCCGAGGAGCTCACGCTTCCAGTTTTCTGTCTTGATTTGTATGGCTGGTTGAGCTGTAGCTGAATGTCCTCTAAAGCCAGACAGACACTGTGTGATTGTAGAAAGCTTGTTGATTGGTGACTCAAACTATACGTTTGAATAGACCATCATGTTCAGACATTCAAGTCTACGATTTATATACCCGCACTGTACAACAACACTCTGTCCATACTACGTAAAACAGCTCTGTCCATGAACAATTCAAATGAAGCAGTTTCATTCAAAATAAAATAATGCACACCGAGTACTGAGCAAACATGCTGAGAAACTGAGCAGCGCTGCTGACACTGAGCATGGCAACTAAAAGCAGGTGGTGATGTTCATGGTAAGACAGTACAGACTCTCCACTGCCTGTTTTACAAAGACGGTTTTAAAAATCAACGTATTTATGTTTATACCTCTCAATTCCACTCCGTCAAACAGAGTAAAGTTGGCATAGCAGGACTTGTGTCCTAGGCTGGGTGTCTCCACCTGTACTGGGGAAGTGGTTGTGATTGTGTGTTTAAAAACAAGCTAAAATCACTCCGTGAATTCCTGGTGGGACTCTACCAAGTCACAATTGTAAAGTGACCAATTACTTTGTGTCCGACTGTCACGGTGTCAGTAATGCTTCTATGTGTAAGCAGAGCCTTTTTCACTGCCTGCTTGAGTCGCTTGTTCGTTAGTATTAGTATAGTTTTTATGAGTACGAGTAAATGCTCGATACCAGTATTGGTAACAATGTATTCCTAGTTTTGATATTGTAATGTTATATTGTCATTGTCCAAATATTATAAAATACTGTGATATAAATTTCAGTTCATATCACACACGTCTAGTTGATGAAACAAAATAATTTTTTTCCTACCTGCTGAGTGCACATGTGTTTCAAGAGTCATGTTGAGAGAATTAATATGACAGCTAGTCACCTGGGGCATGTTAGCAACCCCAGCGTTCTGAGCTGTAATGGAGGAGCATCGAGAGACTTCAGATGGGGAGGCAGACCTCGGAGATGATGCTTGGTCCTCCATGATAGACCATAGGACACAGTCTGAGCCAAAACAGCAGACTTAAGAGGCTGATGTTGGGTCAGCTTTTGTCGTTAAAAGCTATTATTTAATACTGTAAAAGAAAAAACAGAATATACAGTCAAAAATGTCAAATAATCCAAAACTATCAGACCCTTAAAAGGGAGTTTCAGTCAACATTGAACTGTCTAGAACACATATTGCCAGTAAAGCAGGATCTCCTCAGGTTCTCTGCGGTAGCTGCACTATTTACATTAATATATTTTTGAATAGCTTCCCTCACACCCTGCTGCCCACACGGGGGGCACGTCACTAAAACACACACAGGATGAGGTGCTGAGGTGATGTGTAGGACATTTCTGAGTCCCAAAGCTGCCTAATATTATTCCCTCGCTTTGAGTACATTCTTTTTTTTTATCAACCGTTTCGGTGTGTGTTCAAGTGTGTGACTGTAAGCATGGTGGAGGTAGTGTCATGGCTTGAGCTTGCATGGCTGCTTCTGGAACAGGCTCACTTTTCCTTTTTGGTGATGTAGCTGATGTAGCTCATGAATTCAGAAGTCTACAGAAACATTCTGTCTGCCAGTTAACATAGAAATGCATCCAGTCTAAAACAGTGGACGGTTTTAGACTGGCCAAGCCAATCGCTAGACCTTAACCAAACTGACCATGCATTTCACCTTGTAAAAAGATTGAAAGGAGAAACCCCCTAAAACGAAACAACAGCTGAAAGAAGCTGCAGTAAAATGTTCTATGAGAAAGACAGGACATGAACCAGTTCAGCACTTTCCCACGTAGACTGTGAGCTCAAGACGATAAATAAGAATACTACTATCAGTGTGTTTTATAAGTGATGTAATTATAATTTATATATAATATAAATAATATAAACATAATGTAATTTTTATAACTATACAACCTAAAAGTTTGGACCCCCCACCACCCCTAACTACTGTACAAATTCACATACACTCCACAACACAATATACTACATTTCAACGTGACAGTGTGTACGTGTGAGTCTGAACAAGCACCAGGACACTGGCACTGTGGTCTCCTACCATAGTAGAAAATTCCTAAAGGAGCATTCCGGCTTACTTCTATACACCGATTCTCTATAGATTCCCTTATACTACTATTACAGAACAGTAACAATAATACAGGGAGATTCACTCAAAAGAGGCCCCAAATATTCTGTAATAACTCTCTCTAGGATGAAGCAATCTGAACGAAACAACGTGCAATGTGCTCCTCAGTGTACAGAGCTTCGAACAAGCCAGGAAGCCCCTGCGTCAGATGAGGTAGGCACCGGACAGCCGTCACGACGTTTAACCGCCGTTTGCAACTTCCATACCCCTTCATGTGTCTGGCAGAAAACGGAGATCACTTCCAGCATTGCATGTAATGCAGTCGATTACACACACGTCAAGATACGTAGTGTATTTTTTTGTTCAGGTTGCTTCATCCTCACAGGAGTTACAACAGAATATTCAGGGCCTCTTTCAAGTGAATCTCCCTGTAAAAAACAAACTCAACTCTAATTTCTTCCATCACTGTTAAATTGTTATCAGCCATCAGTAAAGCACTTTGAGCTGCCACTGGTTTGAAAAATGCTCTATAAATAAAGTTCTCCTGGAACCACCACCTTGGAGATTTCAGATTCAACACATCTGGCTCTAATATTCAGATGCCCCTGAAGACCCTCCTTACCTGTAAAGGTGTGTTAGATTAGGGTAGACCTCCAGGTCTGGGCACCACTAAACAAGAACCATCATATCTTCCAAGCTTCTGTTATAAATGGCTGCTCCAGCACCACCAAAACATTTCAGACGCCGTATAGCCGCATAATCGGTCTACCTGTGGGTGGGATTATAAAACCAGGAAATATTTATGATCTTTCATGAAGAGAACATTACTACTCCCCCCCCAGTTGCGTCAACTTGAGCAGCAGGAAGCAGGAAGAAGGGAGGGTTAGGGAGAAAGACATAAACAGTAGTAATGTAGCTCAAAGTGTCCGAGTTGTGCCATCAATAGTGTTTTTCATCTTGGCAAAAAAAAAAGCTATCAGATAAACAAGGGTAAAGTACATATAAAACATGTCCAATCAACCCACATTTTATTATTACTTAGCTCGAGTTAAAAAAATAAGCAACACTAGTAAATTAGGCTAAAATCGATAAAGTACAACACCCATTTCACAACCTCAGGGTTCTGTTTATCTCTCTCATAAACCACATGAACTTCTGCATTGGGTTAATGAGCTCTTCTTCAGAGAAAACCACCACTTGCACTTGTGTTATACTACAAGGACCTTATGTATGTTCTATCCTTCTTCTAATAATAACTGGGAACATCGCAAAGTGGTTAAGAAGGCCATAAGACTAGTAAGAGGCCATGAAGCTTTGAAAAGCTGGCCTCATGTTCTAAAAGCAGAACTGTAGCTCCAAATACACAACTTTGCAGCGCCTTTTCAAGCGTTACAGGTCATTTTAAAAGGTACTTACCTGACACTGCGCCTAAAAACCGAGACCCATCATGCTGCTGGAGAAAGCATGTCTGCCCTCCTCTATATATTCCGTGAAGTTGTTGAAGAGTGCATAAGAGGGCATAACGCTTGTACTTCAACATGATTTACCAGTTTGAACCAGTTCTCGTAGAGCGGAAGGAAGCAATCAAGCTGAACGTCTAGGCAGTGAGAGCTGAGGGCAGACGACAAACTGCATGGAAGAAGAAAGGAGGCCTTGAAGAAGAAAGAAAGGAGGCTTTGAAGCTTTTTTAATTACTGTATTGAAAACCTACAGTGTAGCACCTGAGCATTTCATGGCCGCTGTAGCTAAAATGGTTTGAATTGATGACTGAACAGACATCCACTTAACATCATTTGCACTTTGTATTTTGCAGTTCGAGTGACTGTTCCAGTAAAGTTTTCAACTTTAAGCCAGTTACTGAATATAATATTGTGATTATGCTGTTAGCTGTAGGTGTTTTTGTGTGTATGAATATATGGAGCCTCGTATCTCCAAAACATGGAAATCTCCACAAAGACGACATATCAAATTTTGAAACTGAGAAATTCTGTTGTTTTTTGAAAAATAATTCCCCAATTTGAATTTGACAGCACAATAACACATTCCAAAAAAGTTGGGATGGGGCAACAAAGGGCTGGTAAAGTTGTGTAATGTTAAAAAACACCTGGTGGTTAATTGACAACGTCAATAACATTATTGGGCATAAAATGAGTATCCCAGAGAGGCCGAGTCTTTCAGATGAGGAGGGATTCACCTGCACATCTGTGAAGGCACCATTAATGCTGAACAATACATACAGATTTTAGCAACCTATGCAGCCATCCAGACAACGTCTTTTTCAGGCAAGAAAAATATGTATATGTTGTATTTGTACTATTTTCCTTTAAAAATCTGGTTTACTTGATTTGCGTATCGTTGCATCCTATTTTTATTTATATTCTGCACAGCGTCTCAACTTTTTTGGAAATGGGGTTGTTCAATATATGTATATATATATTGATTTCACAATAGGTAACAATAATATATAAGGCACCATATCCTGTGAAAATCAACTGATATTCATAATTTAAAATGTTAAGATGAAACGTAAGAGTAGAAATGTGTAGGATATCTGTTTAATACAGTTGTATTGTTAACCAGCATGATGTTAAAATGCTAAAGAATGATAAAAATCCTCTTTACTTCTCACATTAATGCAGCATCAGACTTTCCCCACCTTCAGACTCCCTTTCAGTGAATATATTTGTCCCTCTGGAGCCGCTTCAGTGAGTAAAGTGATGTGGCACCTGATGTTTGGCTGGGAGTGTAGGGAGCATTCGTTGGCGTGGATGAACTAAACTCAAGCACTCCAACGAGTTCTTTCTTAATAGTTTTATTTTGTCCGGACGCAGTAACAGCAACAGCCCTCACTGCTCTCTTCTCTTTTTTTCTCCCTCTTTTTTTCTTCTTCAAGTCTCAGCTAATCAATACAGAGAGTCGCTGTCTAACAGGGCAGAGTAATCAAACATCATCCACTCTAACACACATGAAAACAAGGTTATGTACTGAAGTAAGTTTCAACTTACAGAACAACAAATGATTTTCAGTTTCATTCTTACAGTAAGAAGAAAAGCCACATCAGGATTCCCATAATTCCTGATAGCAAAGATAATGAACTTTAAAACTACACACTAAAAAAAAAACGGTTCTTCAAGGGTTCTTTGATGAAGAAAATGGTTCTGTATAGATCCATAAATACAAAAGGGTTCTTTATATTGTAAAAGTGTTCTTCAGATTGATGGAGAATATGTTGTGTACAGTTTTTGAAAAGGATTCTATACAGCACTGAAAATGGTTCTTCTATTCTAACAAGACTGATGTTGTACCAATAGGAGAACCCTTTTTTGGTGCCGTATAGAACTATTTTCAAAAAGCTTTTATATAAGAACCATCTACAGCACATTTTCCATCAAACTGAAGAACGCTTTCGGAATGTAAAGAACCTTTGAATCATGCAAAGGGTTCTTTGGGTGTTCATGGTTCAATATAGAACCATTTTTGTTACTAAAGAACCCTTGAAGAACCATCTTTTTCAAGTGTGTAGTTTTAACAGTTGCTATCTCTGCTATGAAGAATTATATGAATACTTGTATGATATTTTCTTCTTACTGTGAGAGTTCCTGTTTTACAAAAACAGGAAACAAATTGTAAAATGTACAAAAGAACAAATGTGATAATGAGAATCACTTTATTGGCCAAGTATGACTACATATACAATCGCAAGCAAAAGCTTGTGCTCCCCTGATCAATTTCCATGTTTTGTTGATGGTTGAAGTGGAAATAAAGTTAGCACACCCTCTACAGAGAACGCCTCTACACCTTTAAAGTACAATTACTGTTTATTAGCAAAAACTTATGGCCCATTTTATGTTTTTTGCCTAATTTGTTAAAAGAATAAATAGAAATTGTGCAGTAAAACTGCAATATTTAAGCGTGTTCTCTGTAGAGGATGTGTGAACTTATTTTTACTTAGAAAATCAACAAAAGCATGTAATTAAACAGGGGTGTTCAAACTTTCACATACAACTGCATGAGGAGTTTGTCTTGGTGCGCACATAAACGAACAATACAAAACAAAATAGTAAACAAATAATAAAAAAAATAAACATGGACAGTATCACAACAGCACATCACAACTGTTATATACTGAATGTACATACAACTGTGATATTTTATACACAAAATGGTGAAGTAGCACTAAAATGTTACCTCCGCCTCCATTCAGAGTTCAGAGGTTACAGCTAGTCCAGCCATGGAACAGTAAAGTGCACATTAAGGTAAAACTGTGTTTAACAACCACTGGTCCCCCTCATACACTGTGCAGTTTTCAGTGTAGGATATACTAATAAGGCCTGATTGCCTACAAAAAGTGTGGTTTTGGTTTTTAAAATAATGCATGGAGGTTTGGTGTCTAGTAGTTTCAAACACAATGTTGGATCCTGACAGGAACACACTGTTCACTTTGGGTTTGGACTGCATTTTTCAAGTGCGTTGGGCTCCAGCAGGGTCCAAATTTTCCTCGCGGCCCACCTTGAACGGATTTTGGTCTGCACTTAACCTGCTCTGGTTTTCTTCTTCCCTACACATGATTAAAGGGTTCTTTGCATGGTGAAATGGTTCTTCAGGCTGATGAAGAATGAAGAATTTCTATGTAACCAAAAAGGGTTCTGCTATTGTTATGATACCAATGAGCAACCATAGAAGAACCTGTTTGGTGCTATATAGAACCCTTTTCACAAAGGTTCTATATAGAACCATCTACAGCATATTCTTCATCAGAAGATGTAGAAGCATGAAGAACCATTTCAATATGCAAAGAACTCTTTAATGATGTAAAGGGTTCTTTGAGTGTTGATGGTTCTGTATATGGTCCAATTATCTTCAGCAGTTTTCAACACTGGAGTAACGCATCATTGGTGGTGAGGACCATGAGGCCAGTATAAGCATGCAGGCTGAACCATGAAGGCACTGACTTTTGCACAGCTCACAATTAGGCAAATTGTTTCTATTGTGATCTGATTATTGTCATTGATCCATCAAACCTCTCGGTGCACTATATATAAAGGTGAGAACAGTTCTGAGCTTTAAGAACACGTCATGAATCTGACAGACTTTTTCTTAGAACCTTTCTCAAGAACACAGTGTTGCTGAGGTGAGTCACTAATACAAATAGCTAGTTTGGACATGTCAGAGACAGTTCTTCGTCTAAAAGCCAGTGAAGCTGACTTTCATCTTGACCATCAAAGATGAACATAATTTTATAGTCAATGTAATATTTCGAATCCTCAAGTTATTTGAGTTCAGAGTGAAAAAGCAGATGCTCATGAACTCGTATTTCTCTACTTTAACTGAGCTCAACGAAAGAAACGGAGGCACTAATAGCAATCAGTCCTGAATGTTTTATCTCTCAGCCAATTTTAAAGCTCTCTCAGCAAATTTTTTTCCAGTTCGAGCAATTTCTTATTTTTTCTACACGATACACACTGTCTAAAAGATGCTTGCACTTGTATTGTTCTCCCTGTGTCTGCATGGGTTTCCTCTGACAGTCCAAAGACATGCAGTCAGGCCAACTGGAGATGCTAAATTGCCCCTGTCTGTGAATGTGCATGTCTGTGTGTCTGCTCTTTGATGCGCTGCCGACCTTTTAACACCTAATAAGTGCTGGGTTAGAGTCCAGCAACCCTGCGACCCAGGAGGATAAACAGCCTAAATAATGAATTACTGTGATAAGATCCATCACAAATTTCAGAGATCATGCGTTGAAATTCTTCTGAATTGTCTATCTCATCCCCAATCTTAGTGATTATGTTGGCCAGCGTGGACATTTGTCCTTCTGTATAATTGTACTGAGCTTGTCTGTCTGAGGTTAAGAACCTTTGTATCTCCTCTGCCATTGAGTGATCATTGAGCTCCATGAGACAGTGAATGAGGTTAATGCATCGTTCTGAGGAGGGAGTCTTTGTGTCATCTTCTTCTCTAAGCTTGCTCTTGAGGTACTGGATGGTCTGCTGAATGTTCTGCCCACTTTCTACACACATTAAAAATGACTTTAGCAACTTCTGGTTTGACTCCAGCGAGAGGCCAAGGAGGAATCGAAGGAACAGATCTAAATGTCCACTGTCACTCTTCAAAGCTTCATCAATGGCACATTTCTGCAAGTCATACAAGGTCACCTTTTGCTGCGGAACCCTCTGTGGAAAGCCCAGATCATCAACACTTTCCCTAAATGATTGTTTTGTGGCATTTTTGTTGTCGCTTGATTGCATTGCGTTCACTCCTGTGTCAGCGTATGTGTGGATGACAAAGAAAGCTGCAAGATACTCTTGAAAGCTCAAGTGCACAAAGCTGTACTTCTTCACCGGAAACATCGGATCCTCCTCTTTGTCGATCTCAGTGAACAACCCTGACCTCAGCGAGGCTTCAGTGACATCAATGTCATACAGTTTCAAATCATCTTCTGAAAACACGATGTTGCTCTTTTGCAGATTGTCGAAGGCCAGTTTTCCGAGTTTAAGAATAAGCTGAACATCTTCATGTGAGAGCTTCAGAGGATCACTTTCTCTTTCCCCAAGATATTTCTTCTTTTTTTCATTTGTTTGGATGAGTAAGAATCGCGTGTACAGCTCAGTGAGAGATGATGGGATTTTTTCATGGCCTTCTCTCAGCATTTGTTCCAGGACTGTAGCTGTGATCCAGCAGAAGACCGGTATATGGCACATGATCTCAAGGGTCCTTGATTTCCTCACATGTGAAATGATCCTACTGGCCAAGCTCTGGTCACTGATCCTCTTCCTGAAGTACTCCTCCTTCTGCAAGTCTGTGAATCCTTGTACTTCTGTCATACGATGGATCAGATCTGGAGGAATCTTGTCTATTGCGGCCAGCCGAGAAGTTATCCACACCAAAGCAGAGGGAAGCAGATTCCCATCAATGAGGTTAGTTATCAGCTCATCCAATGATGCTGCTTTGGAAACATCAGAGACTCTTCTCTGTCCAAAAAGCAAAGGAAGCTGACTTTCATCTAGACCATCAAAGATGAACAGAATTTTACATTCATTGTAATATTTTGTATCCTCAAATTCTTTGAGTTCGGAGTGAAAGTCAAGCAAAAGCTCATGGAGACTCTGTTTCTCATATTTGATTGAGTTCAACTCACGGAAAGGCAGCACCAACAGAAGATCAATGTCCTGATTGGCTTTTCCTTCAGCCCAGTCAAGAATGAACTTCTGCACAGAGACTGTTTTTCCAATTCCAGCATTTCCTACAGTCAACACAACTCTGGGTTGTCTCTCTTCAGCTTTCTCACAATCTGAAGGTATCACGCCTTTAGTCACCTCATCTTCTGTTTCACTTTCAAGACTTTGAATGTTTACGGGTTTGAAGATATCACTGCAGCTGACTGGTATGTCCTGCTTAGGAGGTGTCTTTAACACTGTGTCCATTCGCCAAACCTCATGTTCCTTGTTCAGACCTCCCCACTGCCCTTCTGTGATGCGGAGTTCTGTGTAGATATTGTTCAGTAAAGTCCGTTTTCCTCGTTTAGCCGTGCCTTCGAAGATCATCTCAAATTTCCTTCTGAAGGTGGATTTTAGGTTATCTCTGACTCTCTCTGAAATTTTGTAAATGGAAAATAAATGAGCATTAGTGTCATAACAGACGGTACAGAAATACAATTTTTGCAAATACATTTTTAAAATAATGTGAAGCCTAAATACAGCACTCACCAATATTACGGCCAACAAATGAAGCTTGCTGATGAGTCTGTTTGGCATTTGCTGATAAAACAAAAACAAACACACACAAAAAGATTTTGATTATTCAAGTATCTTCAATTGACAAATTGGAGTACACTGGGTTAAAAGACTTCCTGTGAAACTTGTGAGGTATCGTCTGCAGACAACTGTGAAATGTGTACAACTGATGAATGAATGCATTTGGTGAGAGTCATAACATAAGTTATAAAAGTGAATACAGGTGTGATGCTGTCTTACAATATGGACTCACTGTCATATGGGTATTGTAATATGACCCAAAACAGCGAACCACAAACAGCTAATACCCTGAGAGAAGGTACACACAAGCTTGAACGGCTTAAATAAAACACAAACTCAAAAATAAAACCGCATTTTAGACCTGAAGAGTGTTGCTTGCAATATTTGAAGTAAAAATTTGCGAAGTCCTGGTAAGTCATCCTTAATTGATTTAATGCTTACAAATTCCTTGCATAGATATACAACCTGTACAAAAGTACAAAAATCTGAGTCATGTTTTGTTTAGACGCAACTTATTTCAGTTTGATTGGGAGAGGATTTGACTTCTGATGTTGAAAATTCATGGAAATGTTTTTATCACCATTTTAGTGAAATGTTAAGAGACGTGTATGCTTCAAAAAAAAAAAATAGAGTTAAACTTGAAAATCCCTGGTTTAACCCAAATGTAGGTAGTCTTTTAGATGAGCATGAGATGGCTTGGGCGAAGGCAAGACGTACTGGTCATAAATACGATTGGTTGATTTTTTGGCAGTTACAAAATAAGTGAAGAGCTGCAATTAGAAAATCTAAAGCTGTTCGTTCTTTAGTATCTTTTTGATACTACAGTCAATTTTAATAATTCCCCAAAATTCTTGAAGAGAATAAAATCTTTATTCGGTAACAAGGATGCTACAAATTTCCACCCTGCATTATAAAAATTTCAGGTAAAATTCAAATGCACTTTCACACAGCAAGGTTTTTATTTGATTCATAAAATCTTATAACACCAAAGTATTTATACTGACAGTGACTATATGAAAATTTTGACATTTAGTTTTAAACAGATCTCTAGTTCTGATGCATAAGGCTCTTAAGCTTTGACACAAATAAATCAGCAGGACATTGTTTTTAAAGCAAGCAGCTGATGTTATTGCAGCAGCTTTAACCTTTTTAAATAATAATGTTGTAAGGTAATATTTTTAATATTTCATTAACGACACATGAAATTCCATTAATCTGGAAATATGCAGTCTATTACACTCTTTTTCTAAAGGAAATGCCCTTTCCTAACTTTCAGTTTTCATGTGCGTGAACAGCTGAATGAGTTATTAACTCTGATCAGTCAGGTTTTAGAAAAAATCTATAGTGCAATAACAGCAACGCTGAAAGTAATAAATTACATAATAGTTTTATTAAATGAAGAGTATAACTGTGCAGCCCATTTTATTGATTTATCGAAGGCTTTTGGCACAGTGGATCATATGTTAATGAAATCTAGACTCATGAGCATTGCAGTAACTGCAGACACCATTCTCTGGTTGAGAATTTTGTATCTGGTAGAATACAGTGTGTGCAAGCTGAACGTTTTACGTTCACACCTTTGACGGTGGCTAAGGGTGTACCTCAAGGATCAATTCTGGGGCCTTTGCTTTTTACTGTCTATATTAACAGTCTTTGTCATAATGTACCAAATCCACATTGTCATTATTATACTGATGATACTTTTATCTACTGTTCAGTACCTACTCAAAATCAAACTGTAAACTACAAGCTGCTTATAATTCTGTACAAAGCAGAATTCATAGTCTTAGACTTATCATTTTAAATGTTGACAAAACTAAAACAATGTTGTTTACAAATTCATTGGAAATGCCGAGAACCTTCCATCTGTTGCCACTTTAAAGGGAAATGGGGTAGATTTTGTATCTGCATACAACTATCTTGGTTTAGTATTTAATACATTTTTTGACATTTCAGCCACAGTTTGTTGTGTTGCTGCCTTTCTCGGTCAGGACACTCCTGTAAAAGAGATTTTTAATCTCAGTGAGATTTTTCCTGGTTAAAAAAAGATACTAATACTACTACTACTCCTACCAATAATAATAATAATAATAATAATAATAATAATAATACTAATTACTGCGACTAACAAGAGGGTAGTTTCTGTTTAAATGTCCAGATCCAGATTGATTGATATCAAGAAGTCTGTTCCTCTAAAGATGGGAAGATAGGTATGCTAGGACAGCCCATTCCAGGTCTTCCACAACGTTGGTAGAATACAGGGAGGGTTTCTTCAGTAGAAGCATCACTTGGGCACATATGAAAGTGGAAGGAACTTGATCAGAGATTAGCGACATCCCCTGGACGTGCCAGACCCCACTGTTCTGTCCAAGTGGTAGACCAAGAAGAACAAGTTGGATGGCGCTGTCTGGTACCGCTGGGTTCAACGATGTCTCGGCGAAGCAGGGGAAGTTGCACACCCAAATGTCTCTCTGGTACTTAACCCTGGCCCTGAGGTCATCCAGCTTGTTCTCCAGAGACTGGAAGTTGGCTAGCAGAGGAGCGCGGTGTGCCCGAGCCCTCGGCCTGTTCCTGATGTCGGCTTATTTCCCTCAGGGCCACCAATTTGGGTTGCATCCTTTGTCTTTTTGTAGGCTCTCACTCAGCTAGCAAGGATCAAAGAAGTAGATTGTAGACTAAGAGTATGTCTGTCCTTGCTGACAAGGGAGGTGTTGGAAAGGGAAAGAAATGTGCAAAAAATAAACAAGAAAAGACAAAGTTTGGTCAGAGCAGTCATGACGACAGCTGACCACTGACCACCAGGACTAATGCACTCAGAAAAGAACTGAGCAGTTTTTATAAATAAACAAAATAACAACTATCTACTTAGGTTTTAGTTGGAGTTCTGAACAAAGTGATGCTTTTTTTGTGCTACAGTTACCTAATCATATACTGTTAATATACATACACCATCCATCCACTTCATTAAAACCACCTCGGTATGCTTGTGGTACACATTTGAGTTAATTGTAGCTGATAACCAACAAAAACATTTTTTTTGTTTTTCTTACCTGCTGAGTTCACATGTGTTTGAAGAGTTATGTTGAGAGAACTAATATGGCAGCTAGTCAGCTGGGGAATGTTAGCAACCCCAGCGTTCTGAGCTGTAATGGAGGAGCGTTGAGAGACTTCAGGTGAGGAGGTGGACACCAGAGATGATGCTTGGTCCTCCATGACAGACCCATGGGACACAGTCTGAGCCGAAACAGCAGACTTAAGAGGATAATGTAGGGTCAGCTTTTCTAGTAAAAAGAACACTGTAAAATAAACAACAAAAGTAGTGTCAGAATTTTACGTATTTCGTAAAAACATCAACCTATAAGACGATTTCTACTTTGCTCATTTTTACATCCTTTTGGAGATGAACTAATGCGCTACTACTTTGTTTGCACCAGTTTAACAGTGAGTGTGTTTACATGCACTTAACAATCTGATAACTGCAGAAAATCAGATTGTGTCAGTAACTGGTTCAGTGTGTTTACACGTAAAAATGAAATAAAAACATACATCCACATTATACTCATGTTATTATTATAATTTAATATAATTCACTAACCTTTAACCCTGAAGGTTGGCGCGCAGACTGCTGGTCACCTTAGCAATGCAGCCAAGAATCTCACCTAGCTGGTAGCTAACGAAACGGCAAAGAAAAGACCGATTTAAGACAAACATCGATAATCTGGAGATGAATGGACTGATTTGTGTTTATAATCACTCCAGCTGGTTTCCTGATACGTTTAATCTGCAGTGAGAAACTGTTGAACACTGAAAAGTCGTGAAGCTGAAGTCGCTTCTCATTCGCCAGCTTCTTGTTCAAATTCTCCTGCTCCACCTTAAACAGTGCAGCAGTTACATTCTGGCCCCTCAGGCACCATTTAAGGTGGAACGACTCGGTGAATGGGAGTAAATGGAGCTCAACAACTAAAAAAACGAGAAGTTAAAATAGTTTCTAATCACTCGTCCAGAACCTTCCTTTAGTTTTAGAAAGTACAAGGATGTATTTCACTACAACAGCAGAGAAAACTCACCTGTATGTTTCCTTTTTCTACAGTAAACGAGTTTTTGGCAGCAGGACGCTGACATTATTGCACTGACCCTGATAGCAAGAGGATAGTGGACCACTGTCAGCTCGCTAATGGCGAAGCTGGCGGTCCACTGGTGTTTTGCTCAGCGGTTTCCAGGCGGCCAACTGGGGGTTAATCAGAGTAATAGACAAAATGCCACTTATCATCGCTCATTTTCCCTTCACTTACTTACTGGTCTTAAAAATATAACAGCGGTGTTCAAATGTTCTATGCTGTTCTGTGTTCAGGAAATAAATGAATTCTTTTACATTAAAATGTAAAATGCTCCAAAAAAAAGGCTTAACCCATTCATTTCGGACTTGCTCGGGAGCGCCCTCTAGCGTTTGAGAAACCCGGAAGACATTACAGAGTGTAGCTCTCTGCTTTACAAGTTCTCTGGTGCAGCTCACTCAGAAGAGTTTGTGCTTGAACCAAAACAAGGTTGTCTCAGTTTCAGCGGTTTGAGTTTGTGCAGTTAACAAAGGAATAAACTTTGTCTTGTGAAGGAAAAGGAAAAGAACCTTCGCTCACGGCCGCTGACCAACGTTAACGTGCAGTGTGTGCTTTAAAGCTGCCAGTGGTGGATGAAGTACACAAACCATGAGTTAAAGTAGAGACACCCAAGGTCAAATATTACTGCAGTAAAAGTAGAAGTTCCTCCCTTTAGACCTCCACTTGAGTAAAAGTACTAAAGTATTTGCCTTCAAATGTACTTAAGTATCAAAAGTAAAAGTACTGAAAGATTAATTATGATTTTAATGTCCTGTTATCATTTTATAACAAGACTCGCTTCATTAACTCATTTTAGGTGTAAATACTCCAGTGTCTCTCTTGGTAAACCAGTCTTTTAATAGAGTCATTAATTAGTGACGCTGATGTCTATTAAAATGATCAAAAGTATTGATGATTGGTGTGTTTCCTTCGCGCTTCTTTGGTTTTGACGTGTTGCGTTTTTACACACACATAAACCGAAAGGAACGACAGATTTCTCATAATGTAGCGGAGTAAAAAGTGAGATATTTGACTCTGAAATGTAGTGGAGTGAAAGTAAAAAGTCACCTAATAATAGAAAAACTTCAGTAAAGTACAGATACACAAAAACTACTTAAGTACAGAAACGAATTACACGAAGTTACTCAGTTACTGTCCACCGCTGAAAGCTGCTGCAGCTGCTTACAGGGAAACATTTTCTCCCTCCAAAGCTGTCGGTTCACTGGAGCTGGAGCCGAACAGGGGCTTCTTTTCTCAGCTGTGATTCTGCACTGCGCGGCTGCTTTAACCGTGTTGCGGCTGGATTAACCGCAGCGTCTACAGCCGCCGCAGAAATACGCAAGTTTGCGGTTCTTCGGTGTTACGGTTCGTTTCAAAGGTACTCACCCAGCGCAGTCTCACACCTTCCTTCATTCCAGCTCGCATCTGTCTCACAACTCGGACTCTGCCTGACGGAAAGGACTTTCTGGTTCCACTGGGACTTTTAACGTAGCTGGGAAAGGCCCACCTCGACAGGAAGAGCCCGTTAGACTGACATGCAAAGCGACCAATCAGAGTGAAAATCCCAGCTTGGTCTGAAAGATTTTTTTGGAAAATCTCACATTCAGGAATTTATCGACGCCAATTTCTGCCACCTAAAATAAAAAAATCCTGTTTTTCCCCAATTAAATGAATTGCTGTGCCATTATTTTGCAATACTAAGTCATTATTTTGAGATTCTAAATGATTATTTTTGAGATTCTCTCATTGTTTTTGAGATACCAAGTCATTATTTTGAGGTACTGTCTCAGTATGTCGAGATGCTTTCTCATGAATTATATTTATATATACTCATACGTTATTTATATTTACATCTCAGAAGCATAAAGCGTCTCAAAATAAAAAGGAAGGTTCTGAAAATAATGACTTAATATCTCAAAATAAAGACTCAATATTTCCAAAAATAACTTAAAATAATGAGGTAGTATCTCAAAATAATGACTAAGCTTTGCAAAATAATGGCATAGCAATTCATTTAGTTGGGAGAAACCTAGAAAAAAATATGTAAATAATCAGATAGTATCTCAAAATAATGAGATATCTCAAGATAATGTCTTAGTTTTGCAAAATGAGATGGTATCTGAAAAATGACATTCAAAATAATGAGACTATCTCAAAATAATACGTAGTATTGCAAAATAATGGCATAGCAATTCACGTCAGAACGAACGAAAATAATTAGGTGTTTTTTTTATTTTAGGAGGCGTGAATGGGCCTCAGTACATATATACACATTAGGCTCTACTACAAATCTGAGTTTATTTTTAATAGCCCAGTTTGGCAACACTGATCTTGGCCGTCGATAACGATCCGCTGATTTGCATAAAACATGTTTGTGAGCCAATCATCAGCCGGGGTTTTATCATAGAGTAGGCCTGGCTTCTTCTTTCTGAATTGTTAGCGGTTATGGAGCGTGATGTAGGCGCACTAGCGCCCTCAGTGGTCAGCGGGGATGCAGAACGCTTTTCTTTCTGAGTATAAATGCCTTTTAAAATTTTATATTCCAGTTAGTTCTCTTCCCAGATCCTTCAGTCTGTTATCTCCATGGTGACATGATGTATCTGCCTGCATTACACAGTGTTTCCCAACAGCACCAACAAAACACTCACAGACACACTTACAGACACTCAGACACACTTACAGACACTCACAGACACACTTACAGACACTCACAGACACACTTACAGACACTCACAGACACACTTACACACTTACAGACACTCACAGACACACTTACACACTTAGACACTCAGACATAGACACTCACAGACACACTTACACTTACAGACACTCACAGACAGACTTACACACTTACAGACACACTTAGACACTCATACACTCAGACACACTTACAGACACTCACAGACACACTTACAGACACTCACAGACTCAGACACACTCACAGACACTCAGACACACTCACAGACACTCAGACACAGACACACTCACACTCAGACACAGACACTCACAGACACTCAGACACACTCAGACACTCAGACACACTTACAGACACTCACAGACACACTTACAGACACTCACAGACTCAGACACACTCACAGACACTCAGACACACTCACAGACACTCAGACACACTCACAGACACTCAGACACAGACACTCTCAGACACTCAGACACAGACACACTTACAGACACTCTTACAGACACTCTTACAGACACACAGACACACTTACAGACACACAGACACACTTACAGACACACAGACACACTTACAGACACAGACACACTTACAGACACACTCACAGACACTCAGACACAGACACTCAGACAGACACACTTACAGACACTCAGACACACTTACAGACACTCAGACACACTTACAGACACACTCACAGACACACTCACAGACGCTCACAGACGCTCACAGACGCTCAGACACACTCAGACACTCAGACACACTCACAGACTCTCAGACACAGACACTCAGACACACAGAGACACTCACAGACACACTCACAGACACTCACACTCACAGACACACTCAGACACTCACACTCACAGACACTCAGACACAGACACTCACAGACACAGACACTCACAGACAATCAGACACACTCACAGACACTCAGACACAGACACTCAGACACACTTAGACGCTCAGACAGACACTTAGACACACAGACACACATAGACACTCACAGACACACTTAGACACTCACAGACACACTTACAGACACTCAGACATACACTCACAGACACTCAGACACACTCACAGACACTCAAACACACTTAGACACTCACAGACACACTTACAGACACACAGACACACTTACACTCACAGACACACTCAGACACACACAGACACTCAGACACTTACAGACACACTTACAGACACGCAGACACACTTACAGACTCACAGACACTCAGACACACTCACACTCAGACACAGACACTCACAGACACACTCACAGACACTCAGACACACTTAAAGACACTCAGACACACTTACAGACACTCAGACACTTACAGACACTCAGACACACTTACACTCACAGACACTCAGACACACTCAGACACACAGACACTCAGACACACTTACAGACACTCACACTTACAGACACACTCACAGACACTCACACTCACAGACACTCACTCACAGATGCTCAGACACACTCACAGACACTCAGACACTCAAACACTCACAGACACTCAGACACACTCACAGACACTCACAGACACACTCAGACACAGACACTCACAGACACACTCAGACACACTCACAGACAATCAGACACACTCACAGACACTCAGACACTCACAGACACTCACAGACACTCAGACACACTCACAGACACACTCACAGACACACTTACAGACACACTCAGACACACTTAGACACTCACAGATGCTCAGACACACTCAGACACTCACACTCACAGACACACTCACTCACAGACACACTCACAGACTGAGGAGTGAGTTTTTAATCATTTTTATTTTCCTTTTAAAATGAACAATATTCAAAGTATCAAATCCAATGAAACACCAGAGAATTGGACTGGACAGAAAACTCTCTGGACCACAGATTATATACACACACACACATTACTGTGCAAAAGGTGTAATATTACAAAAAAATACAAAAACGTTTCTACAGTAAGTAGTGATTTTATGTATCTCGCCGTGTTTGTTGATCCATTTCCTGTCCTCTCCTCGAGGGAGCCCAGTGTTACGTGTAGTTATCATCCAATACCTGCTTTACTTTAATCAATACTTATCAATTATGCTAAATCAGGAGCTGCTGAGGGAGCTTAATAAGTCCATGTGAGAGAATCTGGAACCAGACTGTTCTTCAAACCAGATCACTAAACATCAACTAGAGATCATTACACTGCAAAAAATGGCACCTTGTCAAGAAAAATGATCGTAAATCCAGTCAATAAATCTAATATTTCTCCGGTTGAGATTGTTGGAAGCTTAATTTAAGATTATTTAACTCATTTCCAAACATTTTTACTTGTTTTAAGTGATTTTATTAAGTAAGATTATCTCACTGTGTTGGCAGATTAATGTTGCTTGTTGTAAGAAATGAGCTTGAAACCAGCAAAATGATCTGCCAGTATAGTGAGATCATTTTACTAAATAAAATGACTTAAAACAGGTAATAATAAGCAAAATAGTCTTATAATAAGCACATAACCCTCTCAAAATAAGAAATATTAGATATATCAACTAGAATTAAGATCATTTGACCTGAGATGATTCTATTTTTTGTGGTATACTTTTACTGTATTTACTTTATTATATATAAAGTGATTTTAAAAGCAAATGATTTTAAATGCCTTAGACTTTTGCACAGTACCGTGTGTGTGTGTGTGTGTGTGTGTGTGTGTGTGTGTGTGTGTGTGTGTGTGTATCTGTATATATGTGTATATATATCCAGAGAGAGAGAGATTGTTTGGTCCCAGATTGAATATAAATACAAACAAGAAGCTTTAAATTAACACAAAATCCACCATAAACCAAGACCAAAGAAAACCACACTGTAATAAGATTAACAATGTGAGTTTATATTTTATCAGATATTAAATTTTACCTTTCCTGGACGACATTTAGAACTGCGAAAGTAACAAACAGTCCAAAAACAGGAGAGAGAACTTATCACAGAACCCAGGAGTCCGTCAGTGGACCACTAACTACTTCATATACTACGTCAGTTACGTTTGTGTGATGAATATACCTTCAATTTAAACAATAAACACGCAAAAGTGTGGAGTCTGGCACCAACAATCATACCAAAGTACACAGAAGTACTTCAGTATGGTTTTTAGTACAGGAGGGTTTAGTGTTCCTGAGACAACTGTCGGGTTTCTGCAGGAACAGACTGGACGTTTGAGTGGCGGTTAGATAGTGTTATACAGTGAATTATGTCCGCAGGGAACTGTGACTGAGCTAACAGGCTAAACCAGCATACGCAGACGTTCTCAGGGTGGATGTGGAACGTAAACTTGACCAAAGCTTCAAACGTAAAGTCTGTACAGCCCAAATATCGTCACTGTACAACGAAGAACAGGTAACACTTTACATGAAGGGTGTCGACATAACATATTCATAAGATCTTACATAAACACTTCATAACATCTTCATGAATGTTTAAATCAGCATTCATAAAGCGCATGTTTTATATGATATTACTGCCTACTGTGTCATTTTAGTCAGATACATTTTTCAAAATAAAAGTCCTCGTTTTTTATTTTGAAAAACTGCATTATTTTCAATTAAATATCTTACATCTGGACAGCCAAGATAAAAATGACCTGATTTACCTCTTTGGTCATTAAGTGCTTTAACACTTAGACTCATTTTGCTACACTTTCAACTTCTTTTAAATGATGTGTTTCTTCTTAAGCTTTTGTGTTTTGCACTTTGTTATTCTTTTTCCTTTGTGTCTTCTTTAAAATTTTATTGTGTGAAAGGGTTAATTCAACAGTCTATACATCGAGGAAAACGTTATTTATCCTAAGTGTACTTTACAGGTCTTGGCTATGTTCACATTACAAGCCTCGTTGCTCAAATCCGATCTCTCTGACTCGATGGTTCACACTCGTTTAGGTAAGTGACTCAAATCTGTCATTAATGTGACGAACCGGCGTCCTGAAATGACCCTCATGAGCTCATCCTACTCAGTAACGTCACGTGAATGAATCACGTTCATCATCAGCACAAACTAACGAGCAGAACGAGCTTCGCTGAGAAGATCATTAACTCTGATCAGCTCTCAGCTTCATTATTAGAGCGAGACGAAGGAGAAAAAGGTGAGATGAGCTGCTTTTCCACCGTTTACAGGCTTTAACTTCTGTTCGGCGCTGCTGCCATGGTAACGCTGAATGATGGCGCAGTGGGAAAAAGCACATGAATTCTGATCTGAGCGTCACGTTAAGGTCGCACGGCCACAAATTGGATACGTATCCGATCTAGGACCACATATGAAAGTGGATCAGGTCAGATTTGAAAAGATCAGATTTGTGTCCACACAGCTCTGAAAACATCAGATCTGAGTCACATTAGGGCAGAAAATATGATTTGTGCCACTTCAGCCTGGTAATGAGAACGCAGCCTCTATTTTTAGTGATGTTCTTCCTCGCTTATGGTTTTGGAGAAGACACTAGTATAACTGTGTCTTGGTAAATTGGACACTAATGGAGGCTAAATGCTGCGCTGTTATCCCAAACATTCATAAATTCTGTTTTGCCTTTACCTAAAAAGTGATGGAAGTTACGTGGATCTTTAAACTGCAGTGCAAATTAGTCTATTTGCATTCATGAGGCTGTCCAGGGAATAGACGAGTATTATGGTCTGTAAAACTCCTGAGTCCCACCACCACACTGACACTCAGTCAAATTACTGTTCACAGCATATTTATGAGTCATTTACTGTCCATATAGCAAAAAGGCATGCAAAGCAACATAAAGCATAAAAAAAACAAAAATAATTAAAAACAAGCTGAAAGTAAAGGTGAAACGTGCCTGAGTGTCCAAGCACTTTATGACCAAAGAAATAAAGTGGTCATTTTTCAAAATTAATAAATGAGGGCTTTTATTTTGAAAAATGCAGCTCAGTAAAATGACGTAGTAGTCCATTATTAATATCACGTAAAACGTATACTTTATAAGTGCTGACTTCAACATTCATGAACATGTTATGAAGTGTTTATGTAAGACGTTATGAATGTGTTATGTAGACACGCGTCACGTAAAGCTTTACCGAAAAACAAACATCTCCATGTTTGACGATTTTACTTTTCTGCATTATTTGAACACAGAAGCTGCTCTTTACGTTGTGTGAACGTTTCATGATGAATGGACCAATAGAAATGCTCCAAAATCACTCACAATAAAACATCTTTACATTAACTTACATTATAGGTAAATACAGTTTTTGGTCCTCTACTGACGCATGTTTTCCGTTGGACAGTGACGAAATGGAAATTAGCCTGTTTAGGATTCGTTGGTTTTGTGACATCATAAAAACTAACATATTTAAACATACCCGGCTACAGCAGTTTAGCCCCGCCCACTCACACTGAAGTTATAAGGAGTGTTTCAGGCTGGACAGTTTCCTGTATGAGGCACAGCCAATCGGAACAGAGTCATAAAAGGCACAGCCTGTTTAAGTCTAAAGAATAAATAGGGTTTGGAAAATTATAATGTAAAAATGAATGATGACAGAAATACAGACAAAAATAAACAAAAATAAACATGTTATAAGTGTTCTAAGAGGAAAAACTAAAAGCAGGAATAAATGTAGGATATGGACTGTTTAAACCCAAAGTGCCCAAAATTACTGCATCATTAACTGTTTAAGGTGCAAACAAAGTCATGGTTTGGTGTGAAACGCTCTGGTCTAGAGTCAGAACTGTTCACAGTGGTGGTGATAGGAACCAGACGTCCACCTCTAAAAGCTCCCTCACAGAAAGTTCCTACATGAAATGGTTATGAATTCACTGCCTGATGACTGAGACACTGTTTTAGGATAGTTTAGAGAACTTAAACTCCATTCATGGTGGAGGGATACATGCAGGGCGCTGTGAGGCAAAATAGTCCCCAAAGTAAACTTATTATTTCAGATTTTCCACTATTTTCCATCATCAACATTCCATATAAACTCAGAAGACTCGTGTAGGTTCACTGGTGGTTCTGGATAGTAAATAAAATGTCTATATTTGTGTTGTAGTCATGGTGACCCCTGGTTCCTATCACCACCACTGTAAAGACATCTGAACCATTTCACACCAAACCGCTCTGAACCGCTCTGTTTACATCTCAAGGACTGAGTTATTGGGAATATTTAGAAAATTAGGTCAGATTCATTTTCATCCAGAAGAAAAGGAGGGGTGGGGTCAAGGAGCTGAAGTGGGAGGAGCTTAGAACTAGGACAACAATGGGCGGGAACGCTTGGCAGCCAACTCCTCAACTGCAAACGTGTAGTGATACTGCAGAGAGAGATAATTACACATTACATACAATCATACGTCACATTTGAAGCCTGTATCATTTAATAAAACATGCGCCTGTGTTTTACACACTAAATCAGTTTATCTTTACTAATGTAAACAAAACAACAGACCACCAGGGTTTTATATACTGTTAAAAACATCATCATCAGTTTAGACAAACGTTTACCGCTGAATATAAGTGCATAAAACACACAAAACAAACAAACAAACAAACACAAACAAACTCCAGTCTCACCTCGTTTTCTATGTCATGGATGGATTTGATACGTATATCATCCAGAGTGACTACAGGCACCTGAGAGAGAGAGAGACACAGAGACAGAGTTAGAGAGAGAGAGCAGAAGAGGGGGGAGTCAAAGACAGAAACAGAAAGAGAGAGAAAGAGAAGAGAGAGAGAGAGAGAGAAAGAGGGAGATAGTGAGAGTGGAGGAGGGAGAGGGAGGGAAAAAAGAGGGAGAGGGAGAGAAGAGAGAGAGAAGGAGGGAGAGGAGAGAGAAAAAAGAGAAAAGACAGAGCGTGGGGGAGAGAGAGATAGACAGTGAGAGGGGAGGAGGGAGAGGGAGAGAGGGAGAAAAAGAGAGAAAGGGAGAGGGAGAAAAGAGAGAGAGAAGGAGGGAGAGAGACAGAGAGAGAGAGAGGAAAAAAAAAGAGTAAAAGACAGAGCGTGGGGGAGAGAGAGGGATAGACAGGGAGAGGGGAGGAGGGAGGGGAGAGAGGGAGAAAAAGAGAGAAAGGGAGAGGGAGAAAAGAGAGAGAAGGAGGGAGAGGGAGAGAGAGAGAGAGGGGAGAGAGAGAGAGAGAGAGGGAGAGAGACAGAAAAAGAGAGAGGAAAAAGACAGAGGGCATGGGGAGAGAGAGAAAAGAGAGAGGAAAAAGACAGAGAGCATGGGGAGAGAGAGAAAAGAGAGAGGAAAGGAGGGAGAGAGAGAGAGAGAGAGGAAAAAGACAGAGGGCATGGGGAGAGAGAGAAAAGAGAGAGGAAAGGAGGGAGAGAGAGAGAGAGAGAGGAAAAAGACAGAGGGCATGGGGAGAGAGAGAGAGAAAAAAGAGAGAGGAAAGGAGGGAGAGAGACAGAAAAAGAGAGAGGAAAAAGACAGAGGGCATGGGAGAGAGAGGGAGAGATGGTTTTTTTTCTCACCTTTTCGTTAAACGGAGTCTCAAACTTGGGGTGCAGCGCAAATGGAACTCCGTCCATCGCTGAGAGGAGAGAAAACAGAGAGAAAAATAAAGAAAAATGAAGAAAAATGAAGAAATACTTTATAAAATGGACAGATGTTTTCACACAACTGCAACACCGTTCAAAACTCAGTTCTAAGGGGTTAGGGTGACACTCAGAAAACAAGGGGTAGGGGTAAAAATCAGAACATATGCAAACGTTTAGGCAGCCCTGGTCAAAACTGATGGCTTTTCTTTAATGGAAATAAATGAACACATCCTTTACTGAGGAACACACTTTTATACATTTTAGTACTCAACAACAGGGAATTTGACCAAACCTCCAAAACTTCTGCACACGATGGTTTTATCTTATCAAAAAACACTTGACTGACACTACCACCACCATGTACACTATCCAGATTATAACAGAGGCCTGTTTTACTGACTTCTACACGGACAGGTTTAACAGGTGTGTTACCTGTGATTCCGTAGATATTACTGCTGTCGTGTGACTCCTTGGACTCTCTATTGTCTAAGGTGTTGCGGCGGTGGCTGATCTTGGGCGGGACTTGAGGCAGGTTACTGTGGAGAGTCAGAATGTGGATAATGTAAAGTTTTGCGATGGGGGTAAAAACACTAATAACAACCTTGGCCAGGTACACCTGACAGTCAGACCTGGCCCTTAGGAGTCGCACTGAAAGGGAAAAATCTAATTAGCATGTAAACAAAGTAACTCAGAGTCATATCCAGAGCTATATCTGTGTTGTAGTCATGGCGACCCCTGGTTCCTATCATCACCACTGTAAAGACATCTGAACCATCTCACACCAAACCACTCTGAATCACTCTGTTTACATCTCACTCACTCAGTTATGGAGGAATTTTTAAAAATTAGCGGAATTTCACATTTGATCCCAGAAAAATCTAGGCATTTAGACAGACAGACAGACAGACAAGCAGAGATAGACAGATAAATAGATAAATAAATAGATAGATATATAGACAGATAGACAGATAGAGATAGATGGGGAGATAGACAGACAGATACACAGATAGAGATGATAGATAAATTGATATATAAATAGACAGACAGACAGACAAGCAAAAAAAAATAAATAAATAAATAAAAAATAAAAAATTATATATATATATATATACACATATTTATATATACACATACATACATACATACATACATACATGTAGACAGACAGACAGACAGACAGATCTCCTTGGAGGTATCTAGTCTTAACCTCTTGTAAACATAATACAAATACAACTTGACAAATCATGACTTAGAGTTCTCAGTGTTTACCCTAACACTCATTTTAAGGCAAAAATTTAGACCACGCCCACTTTTAATACTAATACGAAGACGATTTTACATGGACTGACCCTCTGGATCTGTGAGGTGGTCAAGAGAAAGAGTGCAAATCTCTGACTTCACAACAACGTGTTTACGATTTATCTCGAGAGCCCAACCACTGCACTAGAAAGCACCTTTAACACACCTACCTGGGTCTGAGAGGAAGTGGAGGTCCGGCTGCTTCCAGTGAGAGTTGGCGGATGTCTAAGCTGATACGGCGA